TTGTAAGGTTAGACACTACAACGTACAGTCTGTTGTATATACAACACCACGTACAGTCTGTTGTATAGACAACAACACCTACAGTCTGTTGTAAGGTTAGACAACACCACGTACAGTCTGTTGTAATGTTAGACAACACCACGTACAGTCTATTGTAAGGTTAGAAAACACCAGGTACAGTTTGTTGTATAAACACCACGTACAGTCTGTTGTATAGACAACACCACGTACATTCTATTGTAAGGTTAGACAACACCACGTACAGTCTGTTGTATAGACAACACCACGTATAGGCTGTTGTATAGACAACACCACGTACAGTCTGTTGTAAGGTTAGACAACACCACGTACAGTCACTACAACGTACAGTCTGTTGCATATACAGTCTGTTGTATATACAACACCACGTACAGTCTGTTGTATAGACAACACCACGTACAGGCTGTTGTATAGACAACACCACGTACAGTCTGTTGTAAGGTTAGACAACACCACGTACAGTCTGTTGTAAGGTTAGAAAACACCACGTACAGTCTGTTGTATAGACAACACCACGTACATTCTATTGTAAGGTTAGGCAACACCACATACAGTCTGTTGTAAGGTTAGACAACATCACGCACAGTCTGTTGTAAGGTTAGACAACGCCACGCACAGTCTATTGTAAGGTAAGACAACACCACGTACAGTCTGTTGTATAGACAACACCACGCACAGTCTATTGTAAGGTTAGACAACACCACGTACAGTCTATTGTAAGGTTAGACACTACAACGTACAGTCTGTTGCATAGACAACACCACGTACAGTGTGTTGTATAGACAACACCACATACAGTCTGTTGTAAGGTTAGACAACACCACGTACAGTCTGTTTTATAGACAACAACACCTACAGTCTGTTGTAAGGTTAGACAACACCACGTACAGTCTAGTGTAAGGTTAGACAACACCACGTACAGTCTGTTGTATAGACAACACCACGTACAGTCTGTTGTAATGTTAGACAACACCACGTACAGTCTATTGTAATGTTAGAAAACACCAGGTACAGTTTGTTGTATAAACACCACGTACAGTCTGTTGTATAGACAACACCACGTACATTATATTGTAAGGTTAGACAACACCACGTACAGTCTGTTGTATAGACAACACCACGTACAGTCTGTTGTAAGGTTAGACAACACCACGTACAGTCTATTGTAAGGTTAGACACTACAACGTACAGTCTGTTGCATAGACAACACCACGTACAGTCTGTTGTATAGACAACACCACATACAGTCTGTTGTAAGGTTAGACAACACCACGTACAGTCTGTTGTAAGGTTAGAGACGTTTTGATTTCTCCTTTATTTTATTTAATCGAATATAAAAAAGAGTTTTATCGCATGAACATATTTTGTATACTTGATCATATTGTAAACGAAATTGTTTACTCAATGTCTTAATATCCTGTTGTTATTTGACTAATTCTATGTAACATCTATATTTCACACCATCCCTGCTATCAATGTACTGAGCCTATTTGTTTTTATTCGGTTTTGATTGGTTATTCAGACTAAATCTTAACCCAACTATTTGTACATTTTGAGTTCAATATCTGAACCTTTTCATCAGAACATTTCTGTACAAAATCACAGTGCATATGTTTTCCAAGTATACTTTTTTTAACAAAATTGTTGTGTATTGATCGTCGTCAGAAGTTTATAATGACCTCAAGCCTCGCCTGTGTGTATATCGCGGGACACTTTTGATTAATATAGTCTGTCGTGATTATAAAGATAGCCCCCATGCCCACATAATGCGATACATACATTATGCTTGACTCTCCCAACGCTACCATGACACTGTGAACACAACAATAAATATAGTCGATATTTTAGATACAAATTTAACGTACATATCAACCAAGCCTGCGACGGAAGTAAGTACAGCTTGTGTGCAAAGCGGTACACTTGAAGATAGCCTTCCGCTGACCACAATGACAGTTATAACATGATCGCTTAGAACAACAACTGACGAAGTATGGAACATTTTGAACTTTGTGTGGTATAGTAGCAAAATCAGATCTTGAGCTGGAGGTATGGGTTATAGTTGTCTCGTCGATAGATAGTCACATTTTCACAGTGTGATATTAAGGGAACCTTCCCCTACCTTAACGATATGCCAGAGAAATCTCCAACCCGCGGGGTAATTAATTTGCTTGTCTAACCAGAGTTACAAGAAGGGCAATAACTCCTGAAAAAAGTCGAAACCTAATCTACACCACTACTTGTGAACCTATCATTCTTACTTGACCAAATGTAATACGAGTCGCTGACACAACTTTGGCATCAAGTATAAATAAAGACTATTATTATAAAAAAAATAAAATCGATCGACAAGTTAAGGAGCCAACCAGATACGATTTCATCCACGGACAGACAGACATACGGACAAGCGGTTTATAATATACCCCCAACTGTACCGCGTACATTATTTGTAAAATATAAACACTGTGATATTAAATTTCAAACTACAGACTTCCAGCTCCTGGTTATCAGACCTCATGCATTGTATGTGTCACCAACCAATCATCGGTTTAATAAAAGGGGACAAATATAACCGTAACTCAATTTGATTCCCTTTCGCCTCTACCGTGATACAGGGACCTGTGTTTTCAGAACAGTTCCCTGCTCCCTATAACATCTACCGTGATACAGGGACCGGTGTATTCAGAACAGTTCCCTGCTCCCTATAACATCCACCGTGATACAGGGACCTGTGTATTTAGAACAGTTCCCTGCTCCCTATCACCTCTACCGTGATACAGGGACCGGTGTATTCAGAACAGTTCCCTGCTCCTTATAACATCTACCGTGATACAGGGACCTGTGTATTTAGAACAGTTCCCTGCTCCCTATCACCTCTACCGTGACATAGGGACCTGTGTATTCAGAACAGTTCCCTGTTCCCTATAACCTCTTCCGTGATACAGGGACCTGTGTATTCAGAACAGTTCCCTGCTCCCTATCACCTCTACCGTGACATAGGGACCTGTGTATTCAGAACAGTTCACTGCTCCCTATCACCTCGACCGTGACATAGGGACCTGTGTATTCAGAACAGTTCCCTGCTCCCTATCACCTCTAACGTGACATAGGGACCCTCACAGAGTCGGGGGCTAGTGTAACCAAAATACACTGTAATTACTGCCCACTACTTCAATCGACACAGGATATTGTGTAACGCTAGGGAGTCAGAGCAGTTACTCATAGGAGTATAAAACAATAGCTCTAGAAAGCATTAGATACCAACCGTTGTATGGAGCGGGGTCTACAGGACACTATAAGTCAATAGCTTTACACAAATGTCAGCCCACAGCTTTCATCGCTTACAAAGGTTAAAACATCAAACCCGCAAAACCTGACAAGTGAATTTAATTATTGATATGTGTGCCTTCCACGTATTGTCTACATGCCTGTATTATTTATGTAATTTGTATCTGCTGTGTCAAATGAAATAAATCACACTGAGTGAGTTCGCGTAAGGCCATCGTCGGTAGTGCGCCGGGCCCGTTAGAGCCGAGAGACACTAAGACGAACGTCAATCTCAGTTTGTTATAGACAAGGGGTGGTCTGTGGCGCCCCGCAGACACGTGCACCATGTTTACGCATGTTAACTTGCAATCGATCATGCGTTTGGATTAAAGTTCGAAAAAAATAAGTGGTAGCATGTACACTCATGCGCATACACGGGAAAACTGCTGGAAAGTGTTGCCTGGTAGCGTCCGTTATAATTGATGAAGTCTGCCAGAGGACAGGATGACATCGACAATGCTTAATATCATCAAAAGAAATCGTCAGTTGCTCAAAAAACGTTTAAACTATCCCTCATGCGCACGAAAGCCTCGTTCACATCGACCGGTATGTCATACTTAATGTCTAACCATGGAGAACACGTGATAGCTACGTAGTGAGAGAGCCGTTACAAATAGACTCTGATTGACCAACGCACGCCGGGCCACGGACAAAACGCGAGTTAAACATCGCACCATCTGATGATGGTGGAATTGAAAAATCAGTTTCAAATACATCTGATGTACATGTAAAACCTACATCAATTTCACAAGCAAAACTAAACCGGAAGTCGAAAAAAGATATACACACTCGAATGGAAGGTTGACTATACTACACCTTGTTATGATGGACTATCAAGTGTTGACGGACAGCTGTGTGGAGATCATTAACATACATAGGACACATGTTGTAACCAGGAGAATCTTTAAGTTTCTATAACAATGTATACACATTTGTATAATGTTATGCAATTAAAACGACTCAGAAAATATTGATATCGGTACATGTACATAGGTTGTTATTGAGTCTTAGTTATAATTTTACACAAAGTATTGTTTGTTCACTATAATGAACTTACATCGATTCAATTACGAAGACAATAATAATATAAAGAAACTGAACGAAATGTAACATGTGGCTACGGAATCATCATGAAATCCAAGCTCGTGAAAGAAAACATTCCATCGATGTCTATTTTCCTGATTCCGCTGTAGTTCAATTTGATAGACAATTGAAGTTAGGACGTATAAATTACATAAATGTATGCTTAAGGCTGTTTTATGTACAAGTCATTAACAGTTTCATGATTCCTAATGTAAGGCCCTTTGTTCGCTACTGAATGTTTATGATTCCGGTCCCAGTGAGGGCCCTATGTATGTTACAGCCTATTTCATGATTCTGGGGCCTACTGAGGGTAGGATCGTTATTACATTATACCATCGGAGTCTTATTGGGGTCCTTAGTAAGTAACTGACCGTCTCATGATTAGTGAGGGCCGGTTCGGTGTTGTCCATTTCATGATTATGGGTCTTAATAAGGGCCGTATGTACGTCATTAACCATTTCCTGACTTCGGGGCCTGGTAAAGTCCCTGTGTAAGTTATTGACGATGAGTGCACATGTTACATGGCGGTAGTGTAATTAACTATGGTCACTTACCTCAGTATATATGTTTATTCAGTTCAACCAACACCGTTTGAGAGATTGCATCTGGAAAAAGCAAAACATCCTTTGTCAGTGACCAGCAACTAAACCGAAGTACACTAATGTAAGGTAAAACTGGGTATCACAAGTACAAAATGAGATCCGTCTTTCGGATCCGGAACACAGATCTCAGACCCGGAGCCTAAAGTCCGGTCACTAGTTCACACTGATACTGGATTCGATGTGTTCTCTGATACACAGTCTCGTGGTGGAGTGCTGTTTTACATCGACAATATTATCCTCTATCATAAGCTAGCTCGTTATCGATGGTCACTTATTTCAAATAAGAAATCAATCACTATTATGTGGCGATGTGTATATGTTGTGTTCGGACATTTGGCGGGACATGTTGTAGCCGCCGGGGCTGACCTCTGTCCACTGACGAGTTATACTAATTAGTAATCCCTGATGTGTTGGCAATTTAATTACATGTATATCGTTACACTTAATTCTTACTGGAGAAAGTATGTGCAAGTCTCGTAAGACAAGGCACATCTGTCGGGAGCACCCTCGTGTAGAAGGGACAATCGATTACCACTGGTCCGTCGGAACGGTTCCCCCACCGTGGGGTAGATCCTCTAATACCACAGCAATCCCCACTAACTCCGCGCGATCTTTGATCTGACGCCAACTATTGCCGCCCCTCCACGACAACGGAAGCAGCTCGTGCTATGCCCGGGTTTATACCAACACTCGAAACAACTAGAGAGAGATATAGCATCTTTACAAATAGACTGTCCATACCAGCTTCAAGCATTTATGTAGAATTGTCCAGAGTTTGATGTTAAAAGCAGGGATCCAAGATAAGGACAATACACACAGCATTTCAAGTACATTTACACAACAGTGAATGAAAAGAAGGTGTTTGTTGTGAATGAAACATGTGTCTTGTCAAGACAATGAAGGCGGCAATATTACTTAACGTGATTTTCTAATTGTCAGTTGAAATATAAAGCTAAATAGGTCCTTAAATCATCCGACAAGCTATTACTCTATCTTATACATTCCATCAATGCCTTAGTTGTTTTATGAGCACTATGATCACGAGCACAACTGGAGCGGAACAATGTACGTCCATCACATACAATGGATGCTAAACAAAGTGTTAGACTCCTTCTGATGTATTCTAATATTGAAATGTAACAATTATATTGACAATATTACTCAGGAAAGTTGAATTATTTCCAATGACAAATTGGGAATACATTCTGTATTTGAAAATTTCGGACCTCATCTTGTTGCGAACTGTATACTTTTTGTATATTGATCACACTATAATATGTCATGCATTGAGGACACCGTCTTCGTATGTCCCTGCAGTAGAGAACACGTAAAACACCAACAATTTGGTGAGTGGACAAGCTGCTCTTAACCAATACCGCTCTGTGCCAGTCTATATTTCCGACCACAGATGAAAATAACATATACAATATCTCCTGCGTTCTGAAACCATCGGCAAAGAGCATCGCGGTAAAATAATATTATTATTGCAGGAATATTCACTCTCCTATCGAGTTTGTCATTACGCCGCGGGTCAAATTGGTTCTTATCTTTTTCTCATTTGTTAAAAGACCTGACGCAAGCGTCTCGGCGATTCAGACAAAGGTTTGTGATCGTTTAGTCTGTGTCACCGGAAGGCGACTGATGAGGCCAATGTTGATTAACGCCATACCTACTACAACAATACGACTTGGAAAGCAGGTGTTATCGCAGTGATGAGCACGCGCTCACTAATATTGGTCCCTGAGGCATAAATGCATATAAAATTCATATAAATGATTTTTGGAGTGACGTTGTAATTTACGATGCATACGAAGTTGGATTTTTCCAATCCTGTTATGTAGTAGGTAAACCCCCTAATGACAGAAGCATGTCGCACTGTCGCTGTGGTATTAGTGAGCGAAAGCCGTCACTTCCTCAGTACATAATGTTATATCTCACTACTGTATCACATATCCTGTCGTTTAACATACCGACTGCGTTCAGCTTCAATACACTGAAAGAATGATATGGACATGTATGACCTAGAGGTGATTGTTTCAAATTCCCTGAAGAGTTAAAGATGTATTTCTCAATGATGTCAGTTCCCGTATTACACAATGTATACCTTACGATATATATATATATATATATATATAGGCAAAGAAGTAATAACGACAGTGCAGGCAAAGAAATTTGTCAAATTATATAGTAAAATGGCATAGGTCCTGAGATAAAAATAAGTTGAAAATCACTATCATATATGTGGACATATGACCTAGTGCTATGGACTTTTAAACCAATTACTTTGGACATTTATCACATTACCACAGAGTTACTTGTGATTGGGCTGTGCTCGTTTATACATTAAAACTCCATGGTCCTTGTGTGTGTGAGGAAGTAGTGAACCACGGAACCCTAAATGTATTGCTAGAAGTTACTGTGAGAGCAATACCACTTGTTAGTTTAGCCGTCTGATCTCCACTGGTACCTGTAACCTCTTGTAAACCCGAGTGCCTTCGACGGAGGTAAATTCCTTGCACCGACCGAGGTCCTCGTGACGGAGCTTTAACCCCCTGTACCGTTCGAGGTCCTTTAAAAGGAGCTGTTCCACTTGTACCGTCCGGGGTCCTTGTGACGGAATTATAACCCTACACCGTCAGAGGTCCTTGTGACGGAATTATAACCCTACACTGTCAGAGGTTCTTGTGACGGAGCTTTAACCCCGTGTACCGTTCGAGGTCCTTTAAAAGGACCTGTTCCACTTGTACCGTCCGGGGTCCTTGTGACGGAATTATAACCCTACACCGTCAGAGGTTCTTGTGACGGAGCTGTAGCCCTTGTAGCAAGTTTTTTCACACTATTCTTGTCCATTACGTGTGCTAGCTGCCCCGTTATTGTGTGGTATACATGCTTGACATGGACGACTGCTTGGCTTACACCTGGGAAGCAATCTCAGAGTAGTCCTAATCCCAGACCAGACTAAGGTCAGACACGTTGGCCACTGACACTATGCTAAGGTCAGACACGTTAGCCACTGACACCAGACTAAGGTCAAACACGTTAACCACTGACACCAGACTGAGGTCAAGCAGGTTAGCCACTGACTACAGACTAAGGTCAAACACGATAGCCACTGACACCAGACTAATGTCAAAAACGTTAGCCACTGACACCAGACTGATGTCAACCATGATAGCCACTGACACCAGACCAATGTCAAACACGTTAGCCACTGACACTAGACTAAAGTCAAACACGTTAGCCACTGACACAAGACTAAGGTCAAACACGTTAGCCACTGACACTAGACTAAGGTCAGACACGTTAGCTACTGACACCAGACTGAGGTCAAAGAGGATAGCCACTGACACTAGACTAAGGTCAAACACGTTAGCCACTGACACTAGACTAAGGTCAGACACGTTAGCCACTGACACCATACTAAGGTCAAACAAGATAGCCACTGACACTATTATCGTGTGATATACGTGTACAGTAAGACTGTTATGTGACCGAGTCAGTCACTTTATCCTGTCTCCCGGACAACACACAGAAGTCGAGACGACGTCTGCCGTAGTGTGATCTGGTCCCGGTTCAGCACAACTTACAAATCAATTTTAGTCTAGCACATTCGTTTACACCTACCTTCAACACAATATGAACATTGATATAAGCTATGTTAGTATAAGAAATCGATTTCTGTTATCAAGTGTTCATAACTTTTTTTTCTTGACCTTTGTCTAAAAACGCCGTTTTCTCCTCAACCGTCGTTCACTTACATATATATTCAGAGTAAGAAGGCAGACATTTTTGCTTGTAGTCGTTGCTGTTCCTGTTGACTTATTAATGTATCTTTTAGAGCCACAAGAACTGAAACACGGACGGACAAACAAGATACTTTATGGGCAAACACATTCTTATTGGCCAGACAAGATTCCTGAAAGACAGACGGACGGTCAGTAGCACGAACGGAATATTGGAGCAAGTAGTATGACATCCTTACTCAAGCGTTGCTGACGCTTGTTTATTGTATTAGTATTAGACAGTTGGTGTTCTGATAATGAGCCGCTAATGGCCTGACCAGGGACTGACCATTACTTGCGGTTTGATGAGATGGTGTAGTTGCAGGGCTTCTTCAGGTGTAAAACACTGGATAATGAAAGTCGAACGAATACGGCAATAAAGATAAGACGCCACTCGGGGCGGATTAACGCTGTCTTTTAATGTATCGACATGATGGCCCATTTATACATAATAATGTTGATCATCTCCTGACCTGTCGCCGCCCTGTTTTGCGATATAGCGGCTGACCAGCACAGAACTGACCAGGTTCGTGCTCAGTTCAATGTCTAAGTTTATATACATGTATATCTTTAATAAGGACGATATTTCACCGAACGTGTAGAGTCTATACCACAGAAGATAACTAAACATGTAAGCAACACTTCATCACAAGCCTCGGCCTGAGATAGTATATGGGATGAATAATTCGAGATAACTCTATTTTCTGTTTGTTGGGTGGCAGATCTTATCATCTGTTTATATACGTTTTTCGTCACTATCCACGTTAAAATTCAGGTGTTTTTTTACGGTAGTCGGGTTGTTCCAGCTGCTGGCAATGTGTTTTATCGGTAAAGCACATGAAATAACTCAGTACCATTCTGATGTAAATGTTAGAATTATGTGAAACAGCTGTCATATGTAGCCCTCGGCCATAAACAGACGATGGTCGCCTTTGGATTGGACCGTGACGACCTGTTATGTGATTAAAACAATGATTTAAATCTTGTAATCGTCCGCCAGACTCCAGAGCCTCGGACAATGACCTTAAGTCTATATTAGCTGAATATTTAACTACGTGTATAAAACAAGAAATCTGTGTCATACCAACACTATACCGTTCGTCACTATAAACTACTTGTGCTTTCTAATCAAAACAATGCCAGATTTGACGTTATCAAGTCCCGCACTCTCGACAGACTGAGAGTCGTACACGACGGACAAGTCGTTTTCTTAAAACTAGT